TTACAGAACAAAATAGTTTCTCATTAAACAGTTAGTACACATTGCCCTATGACAATGGGTTAACAACCCCACTACATGTCAACACAGTCCTTACTCAACCTTGGGTTCCCTATCACCAGCTTTCCTGTCCCCTCTGCCTTTTAGTCCTTGTCCCTGGACTGCTGTGCCTCATTAGTCCCATTTTGTTTTATCGGGCTGTCCAATCCCCGGCTAAACAGTGAACCTTGGAAGTGACTTCACCACTGAGCTAAAAGGGTGTCTGGGGGCCATACTCTCGGGGTTTCTCCAGTCTCTTTCAGGCCAGTAAATCTGGTCTTTTTTGTGTGTGTTAGAATTTTGTTCTACATCCTTCTCCAGCTCTGCCCAGAACCCTCTGTTCTATGCACATAAATTCTGAGAAGCACTGCTGGTCCATCCTGGTTTAGCACTGTACTTCTAGGTACTTGTAGGCCTCAGTTCCCCGCTTGGGAGATGAGGATTCTAACACTTGAAGAGTACAGGAAGTACTTGGCCGCTGTAGGAGCACATGAAGCAATGGCTATTATTATCTCACAGACTCAGGGCTTTCATGCGGGGTGCCCAGAGGGCCCCTGGCTCGAAGCTCACAAATGCCCCTACTCACCAAGAAAGGCCACAAGCCCTCTCTCTCCCTTTGCAGACTAAGATGATGAGACCCTGGGCCGCCCGGCCTTGGCTGGGTGTTTCCACATGTCTGCCTGCTGTCCTGCACTCAGCCATCTGCACATGCCAGGCATCCGCTCCAGCTCTCCCCAAACCAGAAGTCATGCAGCCCCTCCCCACCTCTGCCCTAAAACAAGTCATGCCTAACAATTTTTGTTACTTTTTTCTCATAAAATAAGAAGCAAACCGGGTCTGCCAGATGTCACAATAAAGGAGCACTTTTTAGAAGATACTAACTTGGTGGTAGTTAAGGAGACCTGGTGGCACAGTGGTTAAGCACTCGGCTGCTAACCGAAAGGTTGGTGGTTTGAACCCACCAGCAGCTCTGTGGGAGAAAGATGCGGCAATCTGCTCCCACAAAGATTATAGCCTGGGAAACCTATGGGGCAGTTCTACTTTGTCCTATAGGGTCGCTGTGGGTTGGAAGCGACTCCATGGCAATGGGTTAGTAGTCTATGCTACTCAGAATATCTCTCTGGTAGTCATAAAAATTTAATAGGACAACCTGGTTTTTAAAATTACTCTGTGCCCAATTGCTAGCCTGAAAGAGACCATTGGGTTCTTTTTCACTGTTTTCCCAGAAATCATTAATCAAAGCTGTTCTTAGTACAGCCAACTCTGCACTTTTCCTGGACGAAGGCAGAAATTTCTTTTCTACCTACTTGCCACTGATTGACAGAGACCCGCAGAAATACATAGGTGTCTGCACTTACGATTAACTGACCCAAGAGTTGGGAAAGACCGTCCATTTGACTCTGACCCCTCCACCCCAGCATGGAGCAGGGAGGACAGCTCATAAATATTTGCCCAGCAAGTACCTTCAGAGTCTCCTGAAAGGTCGGATCTGTTGTGTTCTTCTGGACTCTAGTCTTGCGTTTGCCCTGGGAGGATCTGTCAGGCAGCAGATAGATCTTTACATACCTAGTAACCAAAGACAGACAGGACCAGGAGAAAGTTCAGTGGAGGCTAGAGTTCAGGAGGGGCACACATCACACATCAATGCTTTCTTTACCCTGCTTCCAGACCAAAACCTTCTTCTGAAAGTGAATTTGACTTGATAAAATGGGCCTGGCAAGCGAGTGTTACTGGCAGTGAGCAATGCGGTTGGCACTAGGCATAGTTCTAATTTACACTGTCTTTGACCAAATGTTGACTCTATGGGATGTGAAGACCCCTTTGCTTTCCTCATGCCCTACTCAGAATCTATCCCTTCATCACCTGTCATTTGCTGAAGACCATGCAACAAGAAGCTCTAAGGATTCCATGGGCTGCAAGGTCCTCTAATCTACCTGCATGTGGAGGCCATGAGCCAGCTTCCCCTCTCTCCACCTTACCACACCCAGCAAAAAAAAAAGTGGAAATATAAAGCATATGCCTTCACACTTTGCTTTTTGATTGTATTCCTCCTGAATGTCGAGAAATGGAAGAGAAACTGCTGAATCTGGAGGCAACAAGACTGAGAGGTGGATGTCTCCTCCACCCCCTCAAATCTTGGCTTAGAGGAAGAACATGTTCCCTGTCCTTTCTTAGCTAATCCTTCCAGGTTGGCCCCTTGATGACTGTGATGCTTAATTTCATGTGTCAACTTTGCTAGGCTGTGGTGCCCAGTTATTTGGTCAAACACTAGTCTAGTTGCTGTTATGAAGTAGATAAATGTGACTAAATCAATTGGTCTTAAGTAAAGCAGATTTACTTAGGGACTAAGATGTGCTTGACCCAATCCATGGTGTTTTCAATTTCATCATATGCATGCAAAAGCTGAACAATGAACAAGGAAGACCAAAGAAGAACTGATGCCTTTGAATTATGGTGTTGGCGAAGAATATTGAATATACCATGGACTGCCAAAAGAATGAACAAATTTGTCTTGGAAGAAGTACAGCCAGAATGCTCCTTAGAAGTGAGGATGGTGAGACTTTGTCTCACGTTCTTTGGACATCTTATCAGGAGGGACCAGTCCCTAGAGAAGGACATTATGCTTGTTGAAGTAGAGGGTGTGTGAAAAAGAGGAAGACACTCAACGAGATGTATTGACACAGTGGCTGCAACAATGGGCTCAAACATAGCAATGATTGTGAGGATGGCACAGGACTGGGCAGTGTTTTGTTCTGTTGTACATAGGGTGGCTATGAGTAGGAACCAACTCGATAGCACCTAACAACAACAACAACAAAGCAAATTACCCTCCATAATGTGGGTGGCCTCATCCAATCAGCTGAAGGCCTTAAGAGCAAAATGGAGTTTCCCTAGGGGGTGTTTTACCTACAGAGTATAAATAGACATTTTGCCAGAACTCTCTCACTCTTCATTCTTCCCATAGTCTGACCTACGGATTTTGAGACACGAGCCTGCAATCTCTTGTCTGTTGCCTAACCTATGGATTTGGACTTGCCAGCTCCCCACAATTACATGAGCCAATTCCTTAAAGTAAATCTCTCTATAGATATAGATACACGTGCACACACACACATACATACATTTCACTGATTGTTTTTCTACAGAACTCTACGACAATGACCCTTTCTGGTTCCTCTAGAACCTCTGCTAGCCAAGGCCCTACAACCACAGGCTAGAAATATGCTCAACTTTCCCGAAGCAAAAAAATAGCAATAAACATCCCTCTTGTATTCCTAGTCTCGGCCTCTTCTTCCTTTCAAGTCAAGCTTCTTGGAAAAATACTCAAGGCTCACTGTCTCCAATTCCTCACCATTCATTTACTCTTACTCTTAAATTGTTTATCATTATAAGATCTCACACACATAAAAGAGTATATATAAAACACATTTTAAAGCATTATAACACAATACACACCCTTGTACCTCCCACACAGTTTAAGAAATATAACAATGACTTCTCTATCATAATCCTGTCCATAACCAAGTAATAACCATCCTGAATTTTGTATTTATCATTCCCTATGCTTTCTTACTTGACTAATGAGATATTTATAATATTTTAATATATTAATATATTAAGAATATTTTAAATATCTTAATATATTAAGATATTTCCAAACATTTGGAAATTTTCCAGATATCTTTGGTGATTGATTTCTGACTTAATTCTATCATGGTCAAAGGAATATATTGTGCATGATTTCAATCCTTTAAATTCATTGAGACTTGTTTTATGGTCCAGCATATGGTCTATCTTGGTGAATGTTTCATATGCACTTGAAAAGAGAATCAATATTCTGCAGTTGTTGTGTGTAATGTTCTATAAAAGTTAATTATGTCAGGTTGGTTAATAGTTCTGTTCAATTATTCTGTATTCTTACTTTTTTTTTTTTGGCCTATTTGTACTATCAATATCAAAAAGGAGTACTAAAACCACTAACTATAATTGTGCATTCAGTTCTGTCACTCTTGCTTCACAATTGTTGACATTCTATTATTAGGTGCATACATATTTAGGATTGGTTATGTTTTCTCCAAGAACTATTTACCCTTTTATCATTATGACATGTCCTGCTTTACCTCTGGTAATACTTCTTGTCCTAAAGTATTTGTTTTTTTATATACCATTATAACCACTCCAGCTGTCTTATTTATGATTATAGTTTTATGATATATCTTTTTCCATACTTTTAATTTTAACCTGTGTCTTTATATTTGAAATGTGTTTCTTGTAAACAGCACATAGTTGGGTCTCACATTTTGATTTAGTCCGACAGTCTCTGCCTTTTAATTGAAGTATTTGCTCATTTACATTTAATGTAATTACTGTTAAGGTTGGGTTTAAGTATAAGATATTCTATTTGTTTTTTATTGTCACATTTGTTTTTTGTTCCTCTTTTCTTTCCTTTCAACCTGCTTTTCATTTAATAGAATTTTAAAATTCATTTTATCTCCTCTATTGACTATTTAGATCTACTTCATTGTTTTATTTTTCAGTGGTCATTCTAGCAATTACAATATGCATCCTTAACTTATCCAATTCTACCTTGAGTCAATATTATACCATTTCAAATATAATGCAAGAATGTTAAAACAATATAGCTCCATTTATTCCCTCCTGAGCTTTGTGCTATTGTAGTCATACATTTTACTTTTACATGTGTTATAAGCCCCACAATACATAGCTATTATTTTTTCTTTCAATAGTCAATTTTAAAAGAAATTAAAAAATCAGAAAATATTTTATATTTACCCACATATTTATCACTGCTAGCACTCTTCAGAGCCGAGGACAGTTTGATTGGATCAATAACCCCTTCATTTTCCCACCACTACTCCCTAGCTGGTAATTAAAGAATGTGCTAAAAACTTTTCTAGAAAGGCAAAAATAAGGTCCCTGCTTTAATCCATACACAGAAAATCAATTCCAGATCTAATGTACAAGGATTTAAGTGTGAATAATAAAACTCTATTACAAGAAAAGCAGGAAAAATGTATTCATAACCTTTGGGTGGCATAGGAGTTTGTCTGCTAACACAAAAAGTGTTTTTTTTCCATTCAAAAATGATATAGACAAATTACGTTGTGACATTAGTTGCAATCCCCACAATGTGTCAGCACTCTTCCTCTTTCCCTTTCCACCCTGGGTTCTCAGTATCCATTCATCAAGTTTCCCTGTCCCTTCCTGCATTCTCGTCTTTGCTTTTGGGCAGATGTTGCCCATTTGAACTGGTATACGTGACTGGACTAAGAAGCACGTTCCTCATGTGTGTTACTGTTTGTTTTATAGGCCTGTCTAATCTTTGACTGAAAGGTGGACTTCAGGAGTGGCTTCTGTTCTGAGTTAGCAGGGTGTCCAGGGGTCATAGTCTCAGGGGTTCCTCCAGTCACTGTCAGACCAGTAAGTCTGGTCTTTTTTTATGTGTGTGAGTTTGAATTTTGTTCTACATTTTTCTCCCGCTCTGCCTGAGATCCTCTATTGTGATCCCTGTCAGAGCAGTCGGTGGTGGTAGCCAGGCACCAACTAGTTCTTCTGGGGTCAGGCTGGAGGAGGCTGTGGTTCATGTTGGTCTATTAGTCCTTTGGACTAATATTTTCTATGTGTCTTTGGTTTTTTTCATTCTCCTTGCTCCGAACTTAATGGGACCAATAGATGTATCTCAGATGGCTGCTGCAAGCTTTTAAGACCCCAGACGCTAATCAAAAAAGTAGGATGTAGAACATTTTCTTTATGAACTATGTTATGCCAATTGACCTAGATGTGCCCCAAGACCTTGGTCCCCAGCCCTCGGCCCCAGTAACTCAGTCCCTCTAAGTGTTTGGATATGTCTAGGAAGCTTCAATGACTGCCTTGGTTAAGTTGTACTGACTTCCCCTATATTGAGTATTGTCTTTCCCTTCACCAAATTAACACTTGTCTACTATCTAGTCAGTGATTTCCCCTCCTGACCCCTCCTCTCCTTCATAACCATAAAAGACTGGGTTTTTGTTTTTTTTTTCTGTGTGTAAATGTTTTCTTGGGTTTTTATAATAGTGGTTGTCATACAATATTTGGTCTTTTGTGATTGACTTATTTCACTCAGCATAACGCCCTCCAGATTCATCCATGTTGTGAGATATTCCATGGATTCATCATTGTTCTTTATCTTTGGGTAGTATTCCATTGTGTGTATGTACCATAATTTGTTTATCCATTCATCTGTTGATGGGCATTAGGTTGTTTCCATCTTTTTGCTATTGTGAATAATGCTGCAATGAACATGGTGTGTATATGTCTATTCGTGTGACGGCTCTTATTTCTCTAGGATATATTCCTAGGAGTGGAATTGCTAGATCATATGGTATTTCTATTTCTAGATTTTTAAGGAGACATCATATTGTGTTCCATAGTGGTTGTACCATTTTACATTCCCACCAGCAATGCATAAGAATTCCCAATCTCCCCACAACCTCTCCAACATTTGTTATTTTCTGTTGTTTTTTTTTTTTTATTAGTGCCAGCAATGTTGGGGTGAAAAAAAGCAGAGATTTTTTTAAAGGAAAAATTTGACATTATAAAATTTTCTACACATAAAATATCACAAGGAGCCCTGGTGGTGCAATGGTTAACATTCATAGCAAGGGAAACCTAAGTGGCTGATGCATATAAGAAAATTTGGTTAACCTTGTTAGTAATCAGGGAAATGCATGTTAACATAATGGTGACATACCATTTCGCATCTATAATTTGTTTATGGATTGTGTGAGACAGGATTCTAGTTTTATTTTTCCTATATGGAAAGTCAGTTTTTCCAACACCATTTATTGAAGTCCATCATTTTCCCCGATGGTTTTTAATGGCCTCTTGATCATATAAAACTAAACAAAACAAAACAAAACCCATTGCCGTTGAGTCGATTCCAACTCATAGCAACCCTATAGGATAGAGTAGAATTGCCCCATGGGTTTTCCAAGGAGCGGCTGGTGGATTCGAACTGCTGACCTTTTGGTTAGCAGCCTGAGCTCTTAACCACTGCACCACCAGAGTTCCCATATATGCATATACCCGTTGCTTTTGAGTCGATTCCAACTTAGGTTCTCATATGTGCTAGAGTCTGTATCTGCACTTTAGATTCTGCTCTATTGATCCATTTGTCTATCCTGGCATCAGTAAAACCTTTATAATAATTCTTGAAGTAAGACTTTATTTTTCTTCTCTTTTACAATCGTTCTGGTTATTCTTTGACTTTTGCTTTTCCGTATGAATTTTAGAACAAAAGTCTATCATCTAATTCAAAACTAAAAAAAAAGAGGAAACTTACGGATTGCACTTTTTCTTCTTTTCCTCCCCATAGGCAAGGTTCTTACAGGCCTTGATGCATATCTCTAAAGAATGGGTTTCGAAGCAATAACGAATGGCAAATTCTATTTCTCCAGTGACATTAGCATTGTCAAAATTGCCCATCTCTGTACAAGTGCTGTTAATGCTAATTAAACTCCCCTGAAATGAAAAATGACAAGAGATAATAAATTACTTCACAGTTAACTACTTTTTATTTGCACTTCTATTTTCACGATATCAAATAAACAAAAATAAACACAGTGTATGCATCCTGACTCACATTAAGTTAATAATCCACCAGACTGCGCTTTGCCAAACAAGTTACCACATATTCCATCCTATGGAAATGGGGAACCCTCAGAAAGCCCTGTGTTACTCAGATACGGTCTTTGCCTAGCAATAAAATTTACACAATCTCATTCTTTAACATGAATCACTTGTGATGAAGTGCAATATTTCCAGTGCAATTCTGCAAAGATAACACTCAGGAGGGCAGATAATATCCATGGCACGGAGAGCCTCATGGAAAGCACATAGCATGATGGCTAAGTGTCTGTGATTGGGAACCAGACTGACCTGGATTCATGTGCTGGTTCTGCTACTTACGAGCTGTGTCAAAGTCTAAATGGAAAACATAATACTGATATCATAGGGTTACGATGAGTGGTTAATGAAATAAGGCATGTAAAGTGTGCAGTCAAGGTAACTTTATATATTGTGTTTAAATTTTTATGGGTATCTAAAATGGAAAATAACACTACCATCGTAGGTTAGGGCATTCTAAGATTAGATAATGTAGATAAGTAGCACAGACTGCCTGGGCCGGAAAGGACAAAATAAACAATCTTATCACTATTAAATTCACTCAGATATCTGCCGCCATTTGCATGCAACTAATCTCAGTGCTGACTTTATAAAAACAGGGAAGCCTAACTGATTTCCACTTGCATTTCCCAGCTAGTTCCTCCACACTGTAAAACATCCAGAAAAGAAGCAAAGAAGAAGACCTGGGGCAGAGGGTCAGAACCAGAAAAGAGAGATTAAAAACAAAATCAACAACTCATCAGAGGGAAGAAAGCCAGAATTAACTACCACCAAGAACACAACCAGCTTCCTGTGCCCAGTCACTGGTTCTGAAAAATGTCATCTGCCAACACCCACAGAAGTGTTTGAATGGAAAACAAACTCTTACATTTTATGCACTCAAAAAGGCAAGGAGTGGTGAAGCAGCATGAATGAGTGAGGTACAAAAAGATAGAAGAGAATGGTAGGGGAGCTTGGCAAAACATGTGAGTTGCTTGGGCAAAGAACAACGTAAACAAATAAAGGTGCCGAAAATTTCTGATAATTAAAATGACGTTCATCCTGGGACTTCACTGGTTATGTCAAACTAAATTGTATTAGACCAACTTTTCTGCTAATAACAAATAGAAAAGCTGAATTGAAAAAACAAACGAACTGTTTCAAGACAGTGCAGAGCTACCAAGACAGCCAGAATGCAGGGGTCTAAGATCCTGAAGAGAAGAGAAGCACCTTGAGAAAAGCCTGATCTGATCTGCATTCCCCTTTGAGCCGTTTGTCAATCTGTAAGTTGCACAGGGCTGAAAACCGGGCAAGTCAAGCTACAAGAAGCAGCTAAGGGGCTCAGAAACTGAACAAAGTTTTTAGCAGTCTTTCAGAATTGGGAGACAAAAATTAGGGTCCAGGGCCAGGAAGGCACCTAGAACTTGAGGAGCAAAGATCCCAGAGAAAAGGAAAATGCACTGAGGTGAGACTGATGCAAGATGCTGCTTTCTCCTCAAGGTATTTGTGGAATTGGAAGCTGTGTCTGACAGGTTGAGAGGCTTAAGAATGCTTTCAGTAGTTTCACAGGATCCAGAAATAGATGACCAAAAATAGAAAGAAAAAGACAATTAAAACAGACTCACAGGTGATTCAGATATAGGTGATGTAAGACATGAACTTTAAAATAACTGTGAGCGGTATGGTCAAGAAAATAAAGGACAAGTTGGAGAATGTCTCCAAAGAAGTAGAATATATAATAATAATAATAATAATTAAAACCTAGAAAATATGGTAACTGAAATGAAGAGCTCTACAAATTAATTTAACAGAAGACACAGCTGACAGGAGAATTGGTGAAATGGAAGACAGATCTATAGAAAATATCTAGAATGAAGCACAGACGAAAAGATGAATGGCAAATAGAGGAAAGGGTGTAAGATAAATACACTCTTTGGAAAAGTACAATACATATTTGGAGTTCCACAAAGAGAAACAATGGGATAAAGGGTATATTTGAAGAGATACTGGCTAAGAATTTTCCAAGACTGACAAGAGACAATAAACCACAGTTTCAAGAAGCTCTATGAATCCCATATAGGAAAAGATTAAAAAATAAAACCATATGTAGACACAGCATAATAAAATTGCTGAAAATCAAAGACAAAAAGAAAATCTTAAAGGCAGTCAGGGAAAAAAAGGCACATTATCTTTGATGGAGGAAACAACAAGACTTATCAGTTTACTTCTCAACAGAAATGATACAAGCCAGAAGATTTGATTAATCCAAAAGGAGTCAAGACAGAAAGTGGGGAAGGGGAAAGAAACATAGGGTAGGAAGAAAAGTAGACCACAAATAGATAACAGAAAAAATAGAAAACAAGTGGATAAGCTAATAGATTTAAAGCCAAATATATCAGTAATTACAATAAAAGAAAACAAACTACATACTACAAAAAAAAGACAAGGATTGTCAGAATGGAATTTTTAAAATCCAACTATATATGCTGCTTAAAAGAGACAGTTTAAATATAAGTATGTAGAAAAGTAGAAATAGAAGGATGGAAAACAATATACCATGCAAACATTAACCGAAAGAAAGCAATGTAGCTATAATAATATCAGACAAAGTAGATTTTTGAGCCAAGAAATGTTATTAAAGACAAAGAAAAATACTTGATAATTATAAAAGGGCCAATACACTTGAGAGAGGTAATGACTCTAAATTAATAACATTGCCTCAACATAAAGGAAAAATTGACAGAACCAAAAATAGAAATAGATACACCCACAGGGATTTTAACTATTCCCAATAATGATAGAACAAACTGATTAAAAAATTATCAGAAAAGATATAATCTTAAAACAGCACAATTAACAGATCTCACCTAATGACATATATAAAACAGTGCTCCCAACACTGCAGATTATAGATTCTCTTCAAGTACTATAGAAAATTTACCAAAACTAGCCATATGCAAAGATAGGAAAAGCAAGTCTCATGGGGTTGTTATAAGAATTGAGTACAATAATGTATGAAAGGTTCTAAGCCCAGTGCCTGATCCATAAGAAGCACTTAAAAAATGGTAGCTACTATTATTATTATTATACATAATGGCACTAGAGTTCCACAAGTCTGTGAGGCAGGCAACAAGAGCTCTGTTATCCCCATTCGACAGATAAGGAAACTAAAGTTCAGTGGGGTAAGACACTTATCTAAAGTTACATAGTATTGTTGTTGTTGTTGTTAGGGGCTGTCAAGTTGGTTCTGACTCATAGCAACCTACTGCACCACAGAACGAAACACTGCCCAGTCCGTGCTGACAAGTATTGTTACGCTTGAGCCCATTGTTGTAGCCACTGGGTCAATCCATCTCGTTGAGGGTCTTTCTCCTTTTTGCTGACCCTGTACTCTACCAAGCATGATGTCCTCCAGGAACTGATCCCTCCTGACAACATGTTAAAAGTATGTAAGATGTAGTTTCGCCATCCTTCCCTCTAAGGAGCATTCTGGTTGTACTTCTTCCAAGACATACATAGGGTTAGAATTCCATTAACTCATTACCATCAAGTCAATTGTGACTCATAGCGACCTTAGAGGACACAGTAGAACTGCGCCATAGAATTTCCAAGGCTATAATCTTTACAGTGGAGCCCTGGTGGTGCAGTGGTTAAGAGCACAGCTGCTAACCAAAATATTGGCAGTTCTAATCCACCAGCCGCTCCTTGGAAACCATATGGAGCAGTTCTACTCTGTGCTCTAGGGTCGCTATGAGTCAGAATCAACTCTAAGGCAATGGGTTAATCTTTACGATAGCAGACTACCACATCTTTCTCCCACAGCTGGTAGCACCATTGCACCACCAGGGCTCCTCAGGGTTAGGATTAGCACTTAAGAATTCTCACCTCAATTCTAATTCTAGTCTATGACTCCGGCAGGTACCAAGCAACACAGCCCATCATGCCATAATATCCACATAGAGGATTTTTAATCAGAGTACAAGTGCTTCCTTTCTTCACTTCATATTTATTGAGGATTTCTCTTGAACTAGGCACTGAGTGGGGTGCTGGAGATTGGGAGGTGAGACACACCCACACCTGCAAATCAGAAGTAGACCTGGAGCTGCACCTGGGCCACCTATGTGGTTGGTGTCTCTGAGATGTTCAAATGCTGTGTCCGCTTCCCCAGGGACGTTCACTCTCAGATAAAAAGATGCGAGCCAGAGCTCATTCTTTCGTCAACTTCGTTCTTTCGGAGATAACATGACTACGGCGTTGCCCTGGCAGGGTTTTCTGGTTCTGCTTTCTCTGTAGCCACAACAGAGCCTTTGAGCAGGTTGCAAACTTTGGACAGCAAACCGAGCCAACCAATAGTTCCTGGCCAGAAGAGCAGCTAAGCACTCAGCTTAACTTTGATTAGAGCCTTTGGGCTGTCTGGGTTTGAGAGAAAAGGAAGCCTGAGTCAAAACCAAGGAAACCTACCCAAGGCAGGCAGTGAGCTCTCTTGCCAGGGGCTTTCTCTGAAGGTCACACTGTTATCTCATGTCACTTCCAAGCTGTAAACTAGGCCTGATGCCCTTTTACTTTATAAAGGCACAGCTGTACTAAAAAAAAAAAAAAAGAAAGAAACAAAATCTACATCCTGATGATCAGGAGTGTGCCAAGAGCAGGGCTACATAGTGGTCAGGATGGTATGCAGTGGGTCAGACGCCCTGCAGATCCTGCCCTGACACTTACTGGGTGTGATCTTGAGCACGTTACTTGCCCCCTGTCACCTCATATTACTCACCTGTAAAACGGTGTCATAGTTAAGAGCTCGGCTGCTAACCAAAAGGTTGGAGTTCAAATCCACCAGCTGCTCCTTGGAAACCCAAAGG